AAAACTCAACATTCAAAAAACTAAGATCATGGCATCCGGTCCCATCACTTCATGGCAAATATATGGGGAGATAATGGAAACAGTGACAGACTTTATTTTCTTGGGCACCAAAATCACTGTGAATGGTGACTGCAGTTCTGAAGCTAAAAGACGCTTTTTCTTCGAAAGAAAAGCTATGACCAACCTAGACAGCATATTAAAAAGCAGAGACATTACTTTTCCGACAAAGGTCTGTCTAGTCAAAGCTGTGGTCTTTCCAGTAGTCAGGTATGGATGTGACAGCTGGACCCTAAAGAAAGCTGAGCTCTGAAGAACTGAAACTTTTGAACTGTGGTGTTGGAGAAGACTCTTGAAAGTCCCTTGGACTGCAAGAAGATCCAACCAGTCCATCCTAAAGGAAATCAGTCCTGAATATTCATTGGAAGGACTGATGCTGAAGCTGAAACTCCAATACTATGGCCATCTGATGCAAAGAACTGACTCATCTGAAAAGACCCTGATGCTGGGAAAGATTGAAGGCAGGAGGAAAAGGAGATGACAAAGGATGAGATGGTTGGATGGCATCACTGACTCGATGGACGTGAGTTTGAGCAAGCTCCAGGAGTTGGTGATGGACACGGAGGCCTCATGCGCTGCAGGCCATAGGGTTGCAGAGTCAAAACACGACTGAGCAACTGAACTGAACTGACCCTAAAAAATATGCCTTTCTTAAAAAATAGGGTTTCAAATACTATCACAATTAAATATTAAACTTCACAAACATTTATACTATGAATAATTTATATGTGAAAATAAAATTTCAATATCTGAATCCTTTTACAATAATGTTGAACACTCAATATGTGAATTTATCAACTTTGAAGAAAATGCAAAGATTACATTCATTTTTCCTTTGATGTTTTAGTCATACACTGTTCATATTCATATGTTTATTCATATGTTACTCAGATACTTTTTCAGTATCAATCCAAACCTAAAATGTTTTTAATGAAGAATCAATAATGATGATCATAGAAAAAGAATTGGAATACACATTGTTCAAATTTTTAGGTAAGACAGTGTTCTGTAGTTTTAGAATCTTCATATTATATTAAACAAAAGATATGGTGTTTAAATATAGTTATTCATTTATTCATTGATTTGAAATTTAATCAAATATAAAATGTTATGTTAGTCACTCAGTCATGTCCAACTCTTTGGTACCACATGGACTATAGCCAACCAGGCTTTTCTGTTAGTTGAATTCTCCATGCAAGAATACTGGAGTGGGTAGCCATTCCTTTCTCCAGGGTATCTTCCTGACCCAGGGATCAAACCCAAGTCTCCTGCATTTCAGGAGATTCTTTACTGTCTGAGCCACCAAGAAAGTCCAATCAAGTGTAGTTAACCATGAATTCATTTACTCATTCAACTAGCACTAAATTTGTGAGCCTTGAATCATATGGTGAATAAAACAGCTTAATAATTGATTAACTGAGACACACAGTTCCATGACCATAGCAGACAGCACATATATGGATGAATAACACACCGGCCCTGTTCTCTCTCTCATGGATGAAGACATAAGCAGATAATCACAGCACAGATAATGGCAGAAGCAACCCTGGTGAAAAGCCCATAGTAGTCAGAGCAACGGAGTTCAGAAAAGCTACAGGTAACTCAGGGGTGGGGATGGGATGTCAAGTTTAGAGTCAACAACTAGAAATGAAGTCCAAGCTCATTCTCAATATACCTTTATTAAAAAGGCAAATGAGAGGTGTTGGAAGTTGAGAGGATTTAGGAATGAGAATTGGGGGTAGTGGTGATAAAGAGCTAGACAAATATATGGAAACAGGTCATAAAGGGTCTTTTTTTTTCCATTTATTTTTATTAGTTGGAGGCTAATTACTTTACAATATTGTAGTGGTTTCTGTCATACATTGAAATGAATTAGCCATGGATTTACATGTATTCCCCATCCCGGTCCCCCCCTCCCACCTCCCTTTCCACCCGATCCCTCTGGGTCTTCCCAGTGCACCAGGCCCGAGCACTTGTCTCATGCATCCAACCTGGGCTGGTGATCTGTTTCACCCTAGATAATATACATGTTTTGATGCTGTTCTCTTGAAACATCCCACCCTCGCCTTCTCCCACAGAGTCCAAAAGTCTGTTCTATACATCTGAGTCTCTTTTTCTGTTTTGCATATAGGGTTATCGTTACCATCTTTCTAAATTCCATATATATGTGTTAGTATACTGTAATGGTCTCATAAAGGGTCTTAAAAGCTGTATTAAGGAGTTTGAGAGATTACTAACTTACTAATAAGTAATATCTCTATACATTGAAATTATATAATATGTAGTTTATAACTTATGCTGAGCCTTTCTTTAACAATTCACTAAAACATTTATATTTTAAAATTATAAAGTTTTCCTTGTTTAAGGTTCTGAGAGATGAAGTTTACCTGAGACATAAGAAATCACAATTCTTAGTTTATATGAACTTGACACTGTTATCAAGAACTAATGGAGAAGATCTTGTTACTAAGATCATGACAATTCAGTATCTGTATGATCTTCCTTTGTAGATGGAGTAACCAACAACAAAAGCTCCCTCAAAGCTGTCTAAAATGAATTAGTAAACAATTAAAGAATAGCATGCTACCAGAGCAGAATTTGGGCTTCCCTGGTGGCTTAGCTGGTAAAGAATCTGCCTGCATTGTGGGAGACCTGGGTTTGATCCCTGGGTTGGGAAGATACCCTGGAAAAAGGAACGGCTACCCACTCAGTATTCCGGCCTGAAGAATTCCATCCACTGTACAATCCAAGTGGTGGCAAAGAGTCAGACACGACCGAGCGACTTTCATTTCACTTCAGAGCAGAATTCAGTTAAAATGGACCTATGTTTCCTCATTCTACCCGATTTTGCTGGTGAAGACAGTAAACAGCCCAACTCTCTTATAAGTAAGTCTCAGGTTAATGCAAGTAATGTATGCTTACATGTCATTGGCATTTATTTCTTTCAGAAGAGACATGTTGCATGGATATATTAAAAGTAGCACAGCAGGGCTTCCACCTTCACAACTCTGGGACACTATTCACAGAGAATATGTGAACAGTGCCCTCTGGAGCCAGGCAACACAGTCACCCTGTAATGTTAGCCAAAACACTCCTTATTAAATCTTCTGTTACCAGCACCTACATATAGCTTGGCGAGAAGTTAGAGGAATGCTATTGATGATCCTGAAGAGAATTTTCTGAATCAGTGAAGGAAAATTAAATGATATTCAGTAGAGTTTTAATGTCAAGTGTATGCCAGCGTATTTTAATCATTTAGGAATAATTAATTCATGTAGTGGAGAAAGAAATGGCAACCCACTCCAGTAATTCATGTAGAGAACAAAGTGAATATTTGATTAGCCAGGACACACTCTTCCATGAACATAGCAGAGAGTTTCACATACTCTTTACTAGAATAGCTGTCCAAAGTAATAAATCTCTAAAATTATGTCTGTATCACCAGATTGAACCATGTATTTAAAATCATAAATTGGTCAGATCAAATCTGTATATAATTTTGAGACACAGTTAAATATAGGAAAGGACAGAAATTATTTGTTAGTTTTTCATATTAAAAAAAGTCATATATACTTGAGGAGCATTACCCTCACATTTTACATTTTAGTAGAATGAACTAATTATGAAATGAATGCGTCAAAGATTTCAATTTCAGGGTTGACTTTACTTTAGTCAAGATTAATTTTTTACTTTATCATCTATACAGGCAGTTCAGTGGACAGCCAATCTGAATGTTACTCATTGTTCAGTGATGTATGAAGTATCTTTAATCAATGTGAAGAAAGTAATATTAAACTATTATCAGCAGCCTCAAATATTCTAAACATATCAAAAGAAAGGTCAAGAGGTAATATCACTGCTAATAATATTAGAAACAATGTGTTTAACTCATTCTTTACATCAGAGTTTGCACTGATTTGTGATTTCTTTTGTCATAAAATATTATGAAAATATAGCAGGTGACTTTTCTCTAATGTTGGAGAAACACTGGCTATTTCAGGAGATTTTAGACTGACCTTGTAACATAAGTTAACGTGGAAATGGATGCTTTTCTAGAATGGTACACTTTTAAAATGCTATTTCAAGGCAAGAATATAGATTATGTAAAGCTATGCTTGTTCATCGGAGAAGGCAATGGCAACCCACTCCAGTGCTCTTGCCTGGACAATCCCAGGGGTGGGGGAGCCTGGTGGGCTGCCGTCTATGGGGTCACACAGAGTCAGACACGACTGAAGTGACTTAGCAACTTAGCAAATGCTTGTTCATTAAATATTCCAAAGGTGTAAATCTAAAGAATTGTCTGTAATAATAGCTTAAATAAATAATGTAAACAATAACTAAATACAAACTTAAATAAGAAATTATAAAATTATATTTAAGAAGCAATTAATTAACGAGCTCAGTTATTTCAAAATACATTAATGAATGCAAATAACAATGCTAATTCAAAATAGATACTGATCAGACAACTTTTTTCATCAGAGCTATTTATTTGCAACTCATTATATTCTCCCATGGCCAGCCTGAATCAACTGTGCTCAAATTCAGTTCCTAATATAGGAACTAAGTGAATCTAGCCATAAGCAACTAAGCCTGTGTGCCTCAACCACTGAGCCCGCACTCTAGAGCCTGAAAGCGGCAACTACTGAAGGCCACATGCCTAGAGTCTGTGCTCTGCCAACAGGGGAGCCACCGCAATGAGAAGCCTGCACACCACAAGGAGGAGCAGCCTCTGCGCTCCGCAGCTAGGGAAAGTCCACCGGCAGCAACAAAGACCCAACACAGCCAAAGGAAATCAAATAAATAAATAAAAGACACTAAATGAATCTCAGCATCTATTTTACCTCTGTCGACTTGAAAAAAAAAGCACAACCTGAGAGGTGTGAGCTAAGTTCTATTTAGGGCAAAATGAGGATGATAGGCCAGGAGACCACAACTCAGATATCTGAGAAACTGCTCCAAAGAGGTAGGGGGACAGGTCAGTCTAGACGGGATTCTGGTGAAGGAAGAATACCTATAATCATGCACATATTTTTTTGCAGAAGGTTATTGCTAGTCACGAGGAGCAGATGTCATGAACGATTTTAGTGCTCTTCTAGATATGAGGTGATACAAGATTACGCTCATAAAATCGTCTTCTGAAGATATCTATCCGCAGACCTGATCGGCCAGTTTTACCCAGAGCGCAGAGTGTCTCGTTTCTGCTCTCCACCCTGAACTCCTTTCACAGAGTGTTGAAAGTCAGCAACTGCAGTCACTCATGATTTAATCCTTGTAGAGGCAGATGACAATTGCCAATTGGTAGTTGACACTTTCAGATATCAATACAGAAACCTTTTAATAGAACAAACATAGAATTTTCCCAGGGAGGGGGGGAAAAAAACTCCTGTAATCAAGACAACTAAAATCTGTAGAAATCAGAAAGTATGCTTGATGAGAAATATGAACAAGTTGTTCTTACTGCATTTTCCACCCAGGTGAGATGTCTGGACTGATTATAATAAGGGCCCTGGCTTTGTTCTTGTCTCCATTCCGCAAAACTCTGAGTCTCACAGGGACATAATGCTCTGGTGCCTTATGGATGGGTTTCTTCATGGGAGGACTGTTTGGAAGAAGCAGTCCTTCTATTGGCCAATCAAATTCCTTCAGAAAGAATGACAAAAAAATTGACAATAAGTGAACAGGAAGAGTCATTTCTGTATATATTTTAAAAATAAGCACCCTTGTTTATACCTTTAATCTTTTATTCATTCATCAAACATTCATCATCATGTATTGGGCACCTAAGATGTTCCAGATGATTCTAATTAACGTTTTATTTTAATAAAGAGGAAAGATGTCAATTTTTTAAATGCATGAACAACTTGTGTTATGTTACTACACGCAAGATTTTTTCCCTTTCAGAGAAACATCATTCTGGAAATACAGAACTGAGTTAACTTGGATTTTTTTTTTTTTTGCCTCTGTATAAAATATCTCTAGTCAACATGAAAAAAGGAAGACTGTATGAAAAGTGGTTTCACAACCCAAATATCATCTTAAACTAAATCTGTTTGGCAAAGAAGAATATATTTGGAAGTGAAAGTGTGAGTTGTTAAGTCCTGTCTGACTCTTGGACTGGAGTCAGCCAGGTTTTTCTGTCCATGGGATTCTCCAGGCAAGAATATTGGAGTGGGTTGACATTCTCTTCTCCAGGGAATCTTCCTGACCCAGAGATCAAACCCAAGTGTCCTGCATTGCAGGCAGATTCTTTATCATCTGAGCCACCAGGGATATTTAAATAATACATGAATAAATAAATAAATGTATGAATGAATGAATGAATGCAAAGTAACCAAATTCTACAACTGAAACATCTGAATTTGTTTAAACCTTATCATCTCATTCATCCCACTCTGTTTAATGGAGTATTCCACAAATACATTTATTTGGCAAAGAAGAATATATTTGGTTCTTTTCTTTTTGACACACAGCCTCATACATCTTAAACTGTAAGCTCCATGAAGGTAGGTATCATGTCTCTCTTTTCTTGTTCTGTCTCCATTGCCTAAATATATAATAAATAGTGGTTAGATAAGTAATAAAGCCAGTAGGTTAAATCTGGAATAAAATTAACATATATGCTTACAGTGATCAAAGTGTTCTGAACCCCACAAGATGAATGTTACATTTCCTAATTACAGTCTATTTATATGTAGTCTTTCCAAGAAAAAAATTAAGCTTGCCTAATTACAAATGAATAAAATCATCTTTTGGCTTAAAAAGTCAATTATGTTGAAATCCGTCATATTAGATGAATTCAAACTTGAAGTCAAGTAGAGTGAATTTTATTTGACTGAGAACAAAGTGTGTTCCCTGCTTGGTAAATATTTTTTTTTCTCTTCTGCAAACATTTCAAGAAATAAGAGGACTCTTAGGCTGAGTCATTTTGAAATGCATGGTCAATTTGTTATCATTTTATCTAATTTAGTTGCCTTAGTCCTTTCTGTTTGGTTTACAAGCCAAGGTCAGGGTTTTGTTGGACTATAGGGACTTCTTCCACCCCAAATCTACTGTTCCTGTTTAAATGCCTAGAGAACTGTGAGGTAATCCATTTTCATTCCCAAGATCATTTAGTTGTCAAATTTTAGACTATTGATGGCACTATGGTAAAGAGGTAAGGAACCCTCCTGCCAATGCAGGAGATATAAGAGACTCAAGTTCGATCCCTGCATCAGGAAGATCACCTGAAGGAGGACATGGTGAATAGGACACTCCACTATTCTTGCCTGGAGAATCCCATGGACAGAAGGCTACAGTCCATCGATAGGGTCACAAAGAGTCAGACAAGACTGAAGTAACTTAACACACACAGTAACGATGTTATTGTTTTAAAAGGTATGTGTTAAAAGGAACATGATTAACTTAGGTTTCCTAATATAACTACCATTCACCATTTAAGTCAATTAATTAATTAACTAAATTACTCTACCTGTATACTATATTGAAAAATATATATAAGCACAGTGTATGTGAAGTCTACCATAATTATCTTTTTCTCTCTTTCCAAGAAAGTACACTTCCTTATGAGGCATCCCTATCACCCTTAGGTGGGAGGGAATCTTGATATTCCAATTAGAAGTGTCCCCTGTTTCTGCCAAGCTGGAAAAGCCTTTTTTTGGTTGCCTTGTTTTTAGCACTGTATTTTTTGATATATATTTAATCAAATTAAACATTTAAACTTCTTATCAAAACTTTATTTCTTTTCAAGGATATACCCTTCCTTTCCCTTTCCTCAGTGTGATCTCTGGGTATGGATGAAAGTTCAAAACACCATGTACCATTGGGAAAAGGGGTTCACGGTCTATAGAGGAGAATTTAGTCACTCAGTCGTGTCCGACTTTTTGAGATCCCCATGGACTGTAGCCTGCCAGGCACCTCTGTCCATGGAATTTTACAGGCAAGGATATTGGGAAGGGCTGCCATTTCCTACTTCAGGGATCTTCCCAACCCAGGGATCAAACCCAGGTCTCCTGCATTGCAGGCAGATGCTTTACCATCTGAGCTACTAGGGAAGCCCTTCACGGTCTATATGTGGTACTTGGCCTTGATTTTTAAGACCTGTGCCTCTTCTCGTTGGCTACTGGGCCACCTGCTGACACCTATCCACCTTCAGCTGAGAAGTAAGTTATCCTTTCTGCTTCTCTTGGTTTTAGCCTCTGCCCTTTCTGACCCTCTGAAGAAAAGCCTACAATTAACATAACTCACAGTTTTTCCCTTGGCCTATGCTAGGCTTGTTTGTCTCTGCGCGATCCCTCCACCCTTGGCTCCATGATGGCCCTCACGACGCTGTACCCTGAATCTTCGACACATCATTCATCTAGCCCCTGGCTCAGGCTACCCAAACCACAGCCCCTGGTATTTTTAAGAACTCCTCCTTTATCTCCTAAACAAAACCAGAACAACAAAAACCCCTCAACTTTCTAGACTGTTGCTTCTGTGTGCTCAGTTGTGTCTGACTCTTTGTGACCCATGGGTAGTAGCCCACCGGGCTCCTCTCTGCATGTGATTTTCCCAGAAAGGATACTGGGATGGGTTGACATGTCCTCTTCCAGGGGATCTTCCTGACCCAGGGATCGAACCTGTGTCCCTTGAAGCTCCTGTCCTGGCAGGTGTATTCTTTACCTCTGAGCCATCAGGGAAGCCCAGATGTTGCTTCACCACAATCTAAGTATAAGGGCATATTTGGGCCCCTAGGCAATGACTTCTTGGTTTCAGCCTACATCTGTCCTTCCCTTAAAGCTCTGAGACTCATTGTTTCAATCATTGAGGAAGCACAGGGGATTGTGATTTAAAGGCAAAGAAAAAACTAGATTGAGACCAGAAAATGTGACAAAACAACTAAAAAAGTGATACATTAAAAAAAAATCTTTTAGAACATATCACTGACCTAGCAATAAAGCAAGACATACTAGAGACCCAGAGAGGTAGAGTGCTAAAACTGAATTTTACTATGAGGGAGTTTTCCAAACCCAGCAAATTTCTGCTTCCATGGCCTTGAGAGAAAGGGTGCAGGAAACAAATTTCAGGGCCCAGCCCTGGAAAGTCTAACAGGAGAACTCCTCTTAGAAAACAAGAATCACAAAAGGATAAATTTCATTGAAAAGACAAACCAGAGAGAATGACTCTCAGGTGGTTGCAAGTAAAACACACCATCTCAAACATTTTCTCTGGGTGGAAGAAAAAAATCTTCATTGAGAATTCACAACATGGGCTGGCCTACAGTTGAACTTTCAGCACATTACATAAAGATGAAAAGAAAATTAATAATTTGAAAGAAAAATAAATTTGCTTCATAAAAGAAAATATAAAAATAATATTTTAAATAAACTAAGTAAAAACTGTTTGATACCAATGACTAAAACAACGGCATATATTAGGCAAAAGGAAAGTAATCCCAGTTGGAAGGACTGAGATGTAACATTGGAGACAAATGAAACAGAGTTAAGTCTCAACAACAATGTCCTTATGCTAAACAGTACCTCATTAAGTTGACCACTGGGAAGGACTGGCCACATGTAGGTAAGCTTATTCCAGAGAGGATTTTCAACTCTGGAATGTTTCCACTGGCCTGGCTTACTCATCCCTTTATGTTTTATGGCCCACCTAAAACAAAAGACAAAGAATTTAGCAAGATTAAATATCACTATAAAATAATCATTGAGTATTTCTTATTAGGTAGGCAAAAACTCTGAATTTTTAAAAGTCTGATATTTACTGTGTACAAGAGACATGTGCTTAGTCGCTCAGTCATGTCCAACTCTTTGCAGCCCCATGGACTGCAGTCCGCCAGACTTCTCTGTCCGTGGAATTTTCCAGGCAAGAATACTGAAGCAGGTTACCATTTCCTCCTCCAAGGGCCCTTTTCAACCCAGGGATTGAACCCGCATCTCCCATATCTCCTGCACTGGCAGGCAGGTTCTTGTCCACTAGCACCACTTGGGAAGCCCCAACAAGACACGTAAATAAAAGTAATTTTAAATGAAAGAATACATTTTTAAAAATCAGGAAAAATTGGCAATGTTATAATCAACAGTGAAATTTGAGGCAAAAGGCAAAGTAGAATAATAGTCAATTTATGATAACAATGACATAAATAACATACTAACAGAAAAAATTCAAACAAAACTTTTTAGACATTCAAAGAGAAACCAACATGGATGTAATCAGTGTGGGAGATGTCATTACATCACCAACAGATTATGAACTTCTAGGTTAAATGTTTTAAATAACAAATAAGGATAAAGTATCTGACTGCTAAAACTAGTGAATGTAACTATGACCACTTACTTATAGACATTTTAGTCTATTAACAGGAAATGTGTCTTTCTCAATAATTCTTGCAACATTTGTTGTATTTCCACACACTAACAAAGCAAACTTCAATAATGTTTTAAAATGAAAACGGAACAAGCTATACTTTGTGACAAATGACAGAATAAAATTAGATAGAAGTGAAAGTTTAAAGTTTACAATTTCAACCACAAGATAATTTTAAAAACACATTCTCTGTCCCAAAATACTATTAATATTATCCCATATAGAGGAAAAAAATAACACAATCAATACCTATTTAGAAGCAATGAAATAATAATCACAAAGACTTGAAGAATACATTTAGAATTATATTCAAAGATAAATTTATAATGTTAAATGCTTATGTATTAAGGGCTAAATAGAGAAAAGAAATTAAAAAAGCATTCACTCAATAATTTACTTTAAATGTATCCAATGGAAAATAAATGAAAGAAAGTAGCAAAGATTTAAATATAAATAGATAATTAGAAAATAGAATAGTAAGCCTGGCATGCTGCAGTCCATGGGGTTGCAAAGAATCGGACACAACTGAGTGACTGAACTGAGTAGAATTTTAAACAAATTTTTAAAAAAATAAAAATTAAAATAGAAAAATCTCATGCAAGTAAATTTAGATTTAAAAAATATACATAGCACATAGAAAAATCAAGCTAAATATTCAGCACCAAGAAGATTAGGAGTATATTATGAATGTATATGTTAATAAATGCAAAACTTACGAAGCAATTTTTTTAAAACCTTCAAAGATCTGAAATAGAAAATGTGTTCTTACATAACTTCACAGGGGATGGAACATATCATTTTCATGCTATGTGAAACATTCTAAATCATAAAGATGTAGAAAACCAGCTTTCTCATTCCATGAATGGGAGATAGGCTTCATAAGAAAGTCAGTCACTGGTAATTTAAGAACTAGATCAACAACCTTACTTAAAATCAAAGATGTGAAATTCCTAATTCAATATTAGCCAATAAAATTTAACACTATGGCAAGAGAATAATCACTATAGTTAAGTAATAGCCTAGAAATGAAATGATGGACATTTACTAATATGATAAGTCACTGATTAATGAAGGACAGTAAGGAGCAGCCCATCACACATAATTTCCTAGCACACGTGAAGGTCATCTGAGCCTAGAAGTTTTCTGAGCTCACTCCGCCTCCTCAGAAGCATCTGCAGTGTCCAAACCTGTGTCCAAGGAACTGGCTTTCCTGAGTAAGCCTGCTGGGAGTTTGGGGGGCCTGGATACGAGCAGTGGTGGTGGCAGGAAAGGCTTCCTCTTTCCCACCTAAGTTCCCACCTAAGAGCCTGACCTCCAACTACAGCAGAGCTGTGTGGTCCACTCTAAGACTAACACTTCTGTTTGTGTCCAGATCCTTATCTTCTCTCATCTAGGACTCTGTTCCCACCCTGAACTATTAATTTTCCTTCCTTTCTGGTCATTCCATCCGCATAATGTCTGACAGCTTGATATCTTAAAAAAAAACAACCACTTTAAAAAAAGAAAAACACTTCCAGTTGTTGCCTTATTTCTTTGTGCTCTTATACAGCTGCTGCTGCTGCTAAGTCACTTCAGTCGTGTCCAACTCCGTGTGATCCCATAGAGGGCAGCCCCCCAGGCTTCCCCGTCCCTGGGATTCTCCAGGCAAGAACACTGGAGTGGGTTGCCATTTCCTTCTTCAATGTATGAAAGTAAAAAGTGAAAGTGAAGTTGCTCAGTCGTGTCCGACTCTTAGCGACCCCATGGACCACAGCCTACCAGGCTCCTCCATCCATGGGATTTTCCAGGCAAGAGTACTGGCGTGGGGTGCCATTGCCTTCTCTGGCTCTTATACAGCATATTCCCTAAAATGTTCATCTCTTATTCTTCTTTTAAAATTTCTTATTCTTATTTTTATTTCCTGTCTGTGCCACACAGCACGTGGGATCTTAGGTCCCTGACCAGGACTGAACCCACACCCCCTGCATTGGAAGTGTGGAGTCTTAATCACGGGACCACCAGGGAAGTCCCTCATCTCTTCTTCTCCTCCCTTTTCCTCTTAAGCCAATTCCAATTAGATTCTCATCTCTGAAATTCCAGTGAAAATGCCCCATCAGTATTTTAACATCACCAAAGCCCAAGATCATTTCTCAAGACATAAGTGAGCTAAGAGCAGTGTTCAACATGATCCTTCCCTCTTTTTCAGGACACTTTTTCTGACTTGACCTGACTTCATTTGACTTCCATGAAACCATATTCTCTTTCTTTTCTCCCATTAGTAGCCAAAAGTGTTAGTCTCCTCTTGAGTGCCAAGGGCTTCCCTGGTGGCTCAGATGGTAAAGAATGTGCCTGCAATGCAGGAGACCTGGGTTTAATCCCTGGATTAGGAAGGTCCCCTGGAGAAAGGAATGGTTTACCCACTACCCATTCCAGTATTCTTCTCTGGAGAATTCCATAGACAGAGGAGTCTGGCAGGCCATAGTCCATGGGGTCACAAAGAGTCAAACACGACTGAGTGACTAATAATTTCACTTTTAATAATTTTAATAATTTTACACTTTCTTGAGTGTCAGAGGGTGGGAAATACAGCCTATGAAAATCCAAGATCTGTTGCATCAATTGAGTTTTTAGATGCCATTGGTCTGATGCATGTAGGACAATTACTATTCCTGTAGCTCAAGTGGTAAAGAATCTGCCTGCAGTGCAGGAAACTAGGGTTCAATTCCTGTGTCAGGAAGATCCTCTGGAGAAGGGAACGGCAATCCACTCCAGTAATCTTGCCTGGAGAATTCCATGGACAGAGAAGCCTGGTGGGCTACAGTAATTGGGGTCGCAAAGAGTCGGACACAACTGAGTGACTAACACACAAAGGACAGGTTGTTGGTAAAAAGATTCATCCTTTTGATTGCAGTGCCTATATAACTTCTGCCTATCAGGGTGCCTTTAAAAAGAGCTGGTCAAGTTCAGCTTACACTGTTAATAAACATTAACATGGAACAAAGGCCATTCTACTGCAGAGTTCCAGCACAGTATGAGCTTTTATGTAAAAGCAATAGGCCTCTTAATATTATGTCTTATAAATGAAGAGCTGACAGATCCTTAACTGTAATGGCACTAGCTGGCCGCACTATAATGACTGTACATGTGCATTACATAAATTAGAACTTTACAGCATCATTAAGGACTCTGGAATCTTAATTCCTGGAAGTCAGCACTAGGTGGAGACAGTGATTCATGCAATGTTTGCAGGCAGCCTTTTCCTTGCCTTTCTGAGAACTTATTTAATATTTTTCATTCTTCTCTCCAGTATAAAAGAGGGTATTCCTAAACAATTGTCTTTTATTATTGAAACATTATATAAAACAAAGCATCTCATGTTTTGAAAGGACTTACTTGGTCTCACACACACACACACACACACACACACACACAGGTACACCATGCTACAAGGTAACCAAATAAGGTTCAAAAGCAAGTTTGTTTATTTAAAATACTATCTTTATTAGTATACTGCCTTTTCATTAAAAGTAAAATTCTATTTATGATATTTCACAACTATCTACCTCCATGGACAGAAGTATGACCAAAGTTAAAATAGTTTCCTGGATTCATATAAACTAAAAGATTTAAGAAAAACCTAGGATCATTCCTCAGAATTTTAGTTGACAGATACTTCTCTCAAAAACTAAGTCTAGAATTGATTGTATTTTGATTGGGTTTAATACTAGCCCAATACATTGCCATAGATTTTAACTGTTTGAAGCTTGCTAAGATTCTAGTCCTATGGACAGAGAAGAAATCATTCAAAATCAGGAACCACGCACACAAGCTCTTCTTAAACATTGTATATGGGTTCAGAGATTAGATACGTAACTGAAATCAATCCATCAGTTATTAGTCTTTAGGTTTTTACCAGTACCACTGTATCACTATTGTAGATATTTATTTTGCAATTTACATTGAATATTAAAGCTAAATAGTTTAAGCAAATTGTTTTTAAGATTTAAATTTTAAATAACTTTACACTAATAGAAACAAGGCACTGAAGACTGATAGTACATTAATTTACAAGCCAAAATGTTCAAAGATCAAGTAATTTCTGCATATTAGACATTATTCTACTCATTTTGTTTCTGGAATATTTTGTAGAAACTAATGAATACACATGGAATTTGTTCTTCTGTTTTATATATCCCCATTTGATCCATCTCTTTACATTATTTTGATAACTAGAAAAGTACTTAAAACAGAGACTGAATTTTAATGGCAAATAAAGGCTAAGTGGGAGAATTCAATGATAATGCATC